TTTTTATATCATTGTTTAACTCTTTGGCAATACGGTTTGATTTTTCTGATTCTTAAAAAAATTCCCAATTTTGATACAAATTTTAAACCAATAATTTAAATTTCAAATTTCTATTTGGTCGCTTTTTTTTGTTAAACTCTTTATTTCCAAATTTTCAGTGAAATAATTGTCAATAAAAAAAAGACACAATAAACTAATCTTTTCCAGACATTTCAAAAATTTGCTATTTACTAAAGACGAAAAGAAAGACTAAAGAAGACAATTTCTCAAAATATTAATTTAACATTCTTTATTTTTTTTATTTTATTTTTTGTTTTCGGATTTTGACCCTAAAACTGAGCCATTAAAAAATTTATTTTCTTAAACTTTATCAATTTTCACCCCGAGATCTGAAAGATTTTAAACTGATTCCTTAAAAATTATATTTTCAATAATTTTAAACCTGGAATTGCCAAAAATTTGATAATTCAATATTAAATAAGATTTTTTTATTGTCTTAAAAATTATCTCGATTTTTTAACAATATTTTCAGTAAAAAAAATTCGTAAAACGACAAAAACAATGTCTTCCAAGACTTTTTCCGAGTAATTTAACCAAATTTTCTTAGTTTTGTTATTTATTGTTTGTAATGCCCGTTCCAGTGGTAGTAAAATGCACTTATTTCCGTCCTCGCGGTATAATACTAACATGGTGTTGGTGTTCTATATTTGTCGGGATCGGTGTCAATCAGCCTCCTTTTGAGCTCATTCCTGCCCACTCCGGGCGCTCCAATCAAAACAATGGGTCGGTAAATCCCCGGTCTGGGATACAGTTTGGCCACTTCTTCATAGGTCGCGATTTGCTCTCGATCGAAATCGTCGTTTTCTGCAGTGTCATACATAATCTTTTTAGTTTTAGGTTTGGATGCGCAACGGGGGGATTTCGGGGACTGACTGCAGGTTAACACAGGCAAAGCTGAAACAGAGCAAAGCCCTACGGCCCCCAAATGGAACGAATGTTAGTTTTCTAATTAAATTTATTAGGAAATGAGTCAAACGCAAGCTTTTTCTACAAGGAAAAAGGACAGGTTTTGTTAGGGCTGTACCCAAGGGGGGGATTAGGGTTCAAACCCCCCCAGAAATGCTGAGCACTTTTTTATATAGTGTTATAAGTGTTAAAAATTTAGTTTTTTTGTTATTTTAGTGAGTTAATTTTAAATTTTTGTAAATTAATTTTTCATGTGTTAAGTATACAGTGTTTCATTTTTATTGTTAGGTACAAATTTAAATACTTAGTTGATAGAATATTTAATTTTAAGACAAAAGTGTTTCGAATGCTATGAAAGGGAGCTACACCCCCTAAAAAGGTACGTTTTTTAAAAGGTTTTTCCTAATATTTCAGAATAGATAAAATAACAAAATTTGGTACTTTTATATGTACACCTAAACAAATGCCAAATAACAAAATTTTTAATCAGGGGCGTACTAAACGGTAAAACAAATTTAATTTTTAATTGTTATGCTGTTTATGGTCTGTAACATAAATTTTTAAACCGATTTTTACTAAAAATCCGTAAATTGTATCTGAAAAACACAAAAGAACTTTTTTTATGAAAAAATATGAAATGTTGTTGCTGAAAGTGGCAAGAAACCACAAAATGGTTACAGTAAATTTGTACCCTAATCCCATCTAGTTTAGGAAGCCCCTAATTAAAAATTTCAACATTTTATTTTTGTACTTGTTTAGGTGTATAAATGTTATCATCTGTAGCAAATTTTGAATTTTTTTTCTAAAATGATTTCGGAAATATTGAAAAAAAAACCTATTAAAAGACGCACCCCTTGCGTAGCATTTTTCGATATATGTTAATAGAAAAATTTGTTTTAAAAACGAATAGTCTATCTCCTGTTTAAATTTGTAACAATAAAAAGTATTAAAAATTTATTTTATTTTTTGTTACTTTTGTGAGTTAATTTGTATTTTTTTATGTTTAATTAGGATCTCTTATTTCAATTTAAAATAAAAACGTGTACTTAGAGATTTTTGCTTTTTAATCCGCCTTCTTTCATTTCACAAGAACCCCCCCGAAATAAAATCCTGGTTACGGCCCTGGGTTTTGTTGCTATTTACCGTCATCACCGTCCTTTGCGGCCTGAGTCCGGTCGTGGATTATCCTGCGCTCTTGAAGGGCCCGACTTGGGATTAATCCCGCCCGCATGTTCCTGTCGCCTTCCCGACGGGCCTGCCACCTGAAACGCAACCAAAATCCCTAAAATCCCAAAATAAATTATTACAAAACGATAATAGTATATTGTTCCACGAGTGATGATGAAATTTACAACACGAGCCGAAAGCGAGTGGAGTAACTTTTATTATTACATATTATTATTTAATTTTCTCCACAGTTAACTTTTTGAACCAAGAATTTAGATTCTTAGAAAAAAATATTTTATTTTGTACCATATATACAGTGATCTTGCTAAACCACACATTAGAAGTATTATTATTATTAATAATGATATTTATCTAGAAATTTGTATATGGCTATAATCGAATAAACCCTGTTCAATAAAAATATTTTCAAGATGGTGGCGCTTCCGCTTGTACCGGAAGTGAGTATCAACTTCGTTATTTCAAACGACAAGCTATGTTTTTAATTGAGTTTTTTGGTTACTCAAGTGATTTTGAGATAGTTTGTATCAGTTTTCCCTATACCTAAGTTCAGTCGTTTTTGAGATTTTTAGACTTTTTTGAAATTTTTTGGTTTTGCACCTTTCTCTTCAAAAATCGATAACTCGGCCATTTTTAATGATTTTGAAATCGCATTTGAACGGTTTGAAAGAGAAAAGTTAGATCTTTCTTTTGGTGTGTTCATAATTAAAAAAATTATTAATAAACCCACAAAATTTAAGGTTAAATTTGGAAAATTTTAAATACCCGTAACTCATTTTTTTTAATGAAAAGCCTCAATTTTTCCTTCACTAAATAGAGGAGAATTTAATTCTGATCTGTTTAAGATTCCCTATATCTATGTTTAATAGTTATTTTTTTTGCATTGTGAAAAATTTATTACTATCTATAGTTGTTTTCGCATAGTTTGCCATAAAAATATTTCTCACAAGTTTTTTTCACAATTGATTCTTTTTTTTCTTATTTCCGTATCTAAAAAATTTCCCTGCTAGATCAAAAAAAGTTACTAAAACTTTAAAACTATTAGAATTATCTACAAGAAATGTTAATTATTTAAATTAAATTCTCTTCCATTAAGTAAAAAAAATTGGGGCATTTCATTTAAAAAAAATCAGTTATAGACATTTCAATTTGCCCAAACTTAACCTTGAATTTTGGGGGATTGTTAACCATTTTTTTCAATTACATATAAATCCACCAAAAGATCGAAGTTTTTCCTTGTAAATCCCCAAATACAATTTCATAATATTTAAAAACAGCAAAATTATTGATTCAAATCCAAAAATTTTCAAAAAAGTCTAGAAATCTCAAAAAAAATCGATAATAATTCTAGAATAACACAGGAAATTCAAAAACCCATAATGGCCAATTGCAAATTTTTAGATAAATAGTTACTACTTACTTACAATTTTACTTACAAAATTTTAAACCAATAATTGCAAAACCTTAAAATTACTATTTGTTCGTTTTTTTTTTAAACCCTTTATTTCGAGATTTTCAGTCAAATAAGTGTCAATAATCAAAAAAAGACACAATAAACTTAATATTTTCCAGAAATTTCTCAAAATATTAATTTAACATTCTTTATTTTTTTTATTTTTTTTGTTTTCGGATGTTAACGCTAAAAGTGAGCCATTTAAGAGACTGATTTTCGAGATTTTGATTTCTTAAATTTTACATTTTTTTAAACATTCTGTTATAATACAATGTGTTTCAAAATGATTTTTTTACATGGAAATTTTTTTGTGCCGCTCTACTCTTTTTGAGCCAGATAGACCTGTCAACAATGACAGTTGTCAATGGAAATAAAACCTTCAAATTCTTTAAAAAATCAATTTTTTTTATAATTTCATTGTTTAATTCTTCGGTAAGATTTTTATAATTTTTTAAACCTTGAGATATTCTGAATTGGCAAGCATGTTCAGTACGGTTTGATTTTTCTGATTCTAAAAAAAAATAACTTTCCAATCTCAAAATTCCTAATTTTGGGACAAATTTTAAACCAATAATTGCAAAACCTCAAAATTTCTATTTGTTCGATTTTTTTTCTTAAAGCCTTTATTTAGAGTCAGTCAAATAATTGTCAATAATCAAAAAAAGCCACAATAAACTTAAATTTAACATTCTTTAATTTTTTTAATTTTATTTTAATTAATTATTTCAATTAAAATATTGATTTTCGAGATATTGATTTCTTAAATTTTATCAATCATGGTATTTCAACCCCAAGATCTGAAAAATTTTAGAGTGATTCTAAAAATATAAAATCCTCATTTCTTCTCAAAATCGTTTCTCTTAAAAAATAATAATTTTAATAATTTTAAATCAGAAATTGACAAAAATTATTTGTTTTTTTAAAACATTTATTTAAACAAAAATGAGAAGCTAAAACTTTTCACATTCGATATCTCCGAAACTGTTACTTTGAGGACCCATGTTTATTAAGAGTTTTTTATTTATTTTGGTCCTCCTTAAACATTTTACAATCTTTTTTTAACACCCTGTATAATACAATGTTTCAAAATAAATTTTCTGTGCCGCTCTACTCTTTTTGAGCCAGATAGTTCTGTCAACAGTGCCAGTTGTCAATTGACATAAATTAACATTTGAGATTAAGTAATTCGATTCAGTATTTTTAAAGCGGCATTATTTATTTTACAAGGCGACTAGATGAAAAAACGTTGTATAAAAAATATAAACAGCGAATAAAAATCTTAGGCGATAAAAGACTTGTTTATCCACTTATTTTACTTAATCATTCAGTAGAAAATAAAAATAATAATAAAAATCCTTACCAATAAGCGTCATCTTGGGATACGATATGCAGGACATCCCCTTTCCGGAAGTCCAATCCCGCCTCCTTGCAGGGAATATAGGGATCATTGGAGGCCTCGTAGTCAAAATGGGCCCTCACTCGCACTTTGCTCTCCCTAACATTCATTTTGCTGTCGGCAGGGACAAGTTTAAACGTGATTGTTCCCTCGGAATTTTGCTAAAATTTAGGATTAATCCTTTGGGATGAAAAAAACCCTCACATACTAAAATACTAAGAACGTCGTTTGGTGTCTTGCCTTCAACATTAATGTAATTCACTTCAACGACTTCATCCCCCACGTGGATCAACCCCGACCGGTCAGCAGCCCCACCATGCATCACCCTCGCAATGATTATTTTCCCCGTTTCTTCGTCGGTTTTGATGGTGGCCCCCTAAAATTCGCATCAAGTAATCAAAAAATTCGCACTTTTCGCAAAAAACACTCAGATTGAAGGAAAAACTGGTTGGTTATTTCGTAAATACTTACGACTATTGGCTCAGCACTTTGTGCCCCAGTCTTTGCAAGAAACAAAAATGATGTGTGAATATTTTGTTGAATTTATTTACTTAATTGGGAGTAATTTTCTTATTCTAAGACTTGACAAAAAAGGGATTAAATTCGGGGATACTCACCAAGGGTTCGTTACTTTTTACGAGTTGAACGATTTTTATGGTTTCTTCGTCTTCGTCGGCCTCCTGAGGGATTTCGGGCAAGTGGGGGTAGTAGTCTTTCTGGGCTATCGCGTCGTGGGAGTACAGCAAGCCCTGAAAAGGGTTTTGTTCATCCAAAAAATGTTAAAAACCGAATTTAGAGGGTAGTGATTTTTGCTAAGTTGGTAATTTGTAAAAGTGTTGTATTTTACTCTACACAAAAAAATTAATTAAATTTCTAACTTGATATAAAAAAAAAATATTAAAATTAAGTTTTTTTGTTCATCTCTAGATTCTATTTACCTTATTTCAAAAAAAAATCACAAGTTTTTGAAGTTGAAACTTATATGATTAATTACATGGTGATTCAGAAAAGATGACCTTTTTAAATCTGTTGCACTTTTACGTTTTCTAAATGTTTTTTTATAATTTTGTTGTTGGTACTTCTTTATGTTAAATAAAATTTAAATACGGAATAATTTAACTAAGAAGATTCACCTTGTGTATGAAAAACATTTGGAATTTAAAAACATAATTGTAATAATCAAATACAGGGTGACTCAAGATAATTTGTAGGTCAAAAGAATATTTTAGTTTTTCCGGTATTTTATTCATTGTATTTTGCCTCCGACTATAACAGATTAAGTACAGAGTGATTCAGCAATGTTGTCGAAACCGCTTTTAAAATATGTACATAACTTTCAAATTATGAGTTGGCAGGACTTTCACAACATATTTTGTATTTAAATTTATAAAATATTTCGTCATTAGAATAAGTAGAATTTAAATTTTAGAAAAGAAAAATTAGAGTGCCTGCCACCTTCACCGTTTCACCCTGTACTTACATTAAAAAATTTAATTATTTTTGTTTACTGATTATTTTTAAAAACTTAAAAATTAAGTGATATTAAAAAATATTAAAACAAAATTGAGAAAATATTTATTTGAAGAATATTTTAATTAATTAATTAAAATTCAATACAGAATGATTCAAGTGAGAAGATGCTTCTCCTAAAGGGCCATTATTAACTGAATTAATCTGTACATCAATAACTTTTATACAATTTTGTTCCAAATACTACGCAAAAGCAATTCGCCATAATTGTCAAAAATTAAATAATTGGTATTTATCAGATACAGAATGACTTATCAATGCTGTCTGTAGCTACATAAAAAAAAATTCAAAATGTTTTAGAACAATTTTTTGGTATTTGATTCATTATGTTTTACCACAAAATTTATTCAAAATTAAGTACAGAGTGATTCAGCAAAGATCTTTAGATCTGTAAAAAGTGTATTTTTTCCAAAAATGTTAAAAACCGAATTCTATTGTCGAATAATATAATAAAGCACTCATTTTGACCGCATTCATTTTTGCAAAGTTGGTAACGACATTTTTTTGAAACACCCTTTATACACGAAGTACTTTTTAGTCGAAGATTCTGTTTTTTTTATTTCAAAAATGTGCTTGAAAAACAAAAATCTTGGTAAATTTTTCAATTTTTTTGACTGAAATTTGAAAAAAATCCGTTTCTGTTTGTAAAATGTGATAAAATACTTGTAAAAAAACAAATAAAACGTTTTTTCAAACTAATTATTTGTATATTCGACAAAAACCGAATTGAGTTTTTGACTGAAAAACACATTTTTTTTTAATTTGATAATTTTCCGGTTAGCTGTAGCAAAAACCCACAAAAACAAYGAGATTCGAGGTTAAAAACGTGTTTAAAAAATTAAAGAACATAATTTTCGACCAAATTTTGTGGTTTTCAGCTTATTTTTGATTAAATATTGCTCAAAACACGCGAAACAAACAAAATTTCGATTTAT